AATATCGTAAAATAACATCAGCTAAAATTCATATAAGGACAAATAAAATAGACTAAAGTTGATAGAAATCAAGGAAAAGGATGATTGAGAGCTGTGTTTTAACATTTTATTTAAGCAAGAATAATATCTTTGATTCTCTCCAATGTATGTGTGTGTGACACTCAACACTTGTTTTAACTTTTTTTTGTTTAATTACTTTCTCATGAAATGCCTTTTTTCAGGATTTTGTGATGATATTTTAGTATTTATACACAAAAATAAAAGTGAGATTTTTTTGTCTTTATTTTTTCTAATATAATTATTAATTCATAAATTTTTCTTCTTACATTAAAGAAAGGTTTTCACAACTTTGATTATATGAATTTACTTAACAAAATTTTATCAACTTTATATATATATCTTACCAAATGTAGCAAAATACTAATAAAATTTGATTATAAAATTTAATAACTTTTTAATATAATTTTTAATTAATTACTTAATAAAAACTTTTCTAACAAAAGGCTACTTTTAACCAAACACGTCCTTAATAGAATTAAACAGTACGGATCCACTGAATCGGATTCTCTCCTATATTCCAAGTTTCAAATATCAATCAATCTTTAATTTTTTTCTAAGGATGCAGATGCCATGATACTATCAAATGATTCCAATTTGTGGGGGAATAAAACAAATAGTAGTTCTGCACCATTTGATCTCTTCATGCTAATTGATTAAAAGTGAACTTTTCTCAACATTTAAAGTTAGGTTAAATTACCTATTTATCCATCACTTATTGACTTAGTGGTCATCCCTGAGAAGAGTGGTGTTTATACCATTAAAATCCTAAATTCAAAGCCAAGTACTCACTTCCCACCCCCAAGTTTCCACAGTTCAAAAAAAAAAAAAAAAAATTGCCTGTCTTTTGTACCAATTTGTTCTTCATTATTCAAGAAAAAGTCAAGCGGAACTCAAGGGCACAATTCAACACTCCCATAGTTGAAATATCATAAATATGTAAGTTTCCATTAGCCTATCAACAACATCTAGTGGTGTACGTATACTATTTACCTCTGCTATTTTCTTGATGCAAGATGTTAGTTCGAGCTGTCCATTAAAAGTGAGGATACCAGCCAAGCCAACGCACCAATTAACTAATTCAGGCTTAGCCCATTCTCAACCCAAACAGCAAAAACCCACAATTTGCCCTTTAACCTTTTGAGTTTGAGGCATTTTACCCCTTATCTTACAATATATGAGATTTTACCCTCCAAATTTTTGAGTTTAGGGAAATGAGTCAATATTTAATGCCAAAGAATCACTTACACTGTTGACCTTTGTCATACATGCACATATCAACACCAACTCAAAACTTAAACTTTTTGGACATGTTGGCAAGTCTAGCTTGGTTCTTTTTTTAGTAGAAATTCTGCTACTAACAATTTTATCTTGTGGGTTCTACTTACTGACTTATAATTTAAAAGAAAAGTTGCATGAGAAAAAAAATAAATTTCCTAATACAAATTTAAAAATTTTTTAGAAAGAGATTTAAAAATTAAAATTATAAAAAATAAACATATCTTGACAATTAAAATTTCAATATTTCTTATAAAATCTTGTTATATTATAAAAATTATTAAAATCATTAATAAATCTCGAATAAATATCTAATGGGTCTTTAAAAATTTTTAATAAATCCTTTAAAAATATTCATAAAATATCAAATAAATATCCAATAAGAGTAATATATACTTTTTTCTTATTATAATATAAAAAGAGATTAGTGCATATTAGTTCTGATTCTTAAAAAAAACTCGAATTCTAATCTACATTTGAAAATTAAAATCTTAATTCAAAATTTAGAAATTTACTATATTAAATGTTGATATTTAAATTTAGAAACTAATTATATATTCTAGTATAATTACTTTCCAAATCTAAATATTAATATTTAATATGATGAATTTTTAAATTTTAATGAAATTTTAATTAAAAGAAACAACATAGTTTAAGGTTGAAACTCTAATTTATTTTAGGCGTTGAGATTGATTTGCATTTTTTCCTTATAAAAATTATTAAAATCTTTAATAAATGCATAATAAAAATCTAAAAAAACTTTTAAAATCTTTAATAAATACTGAATAAATGTCCAATAGGTCTTTTAAAATTTTAAATAAATACTCAATGAGTTTTTTAAAATTCAAACTCAATTACATCTTATTATCTTACTATATTACAAAAATTGTTAAAATTTTCAATAAAATCTTGAATAAATGCCAATAATAGCTTATGCATTTGGAATTGGTTTTGGTTTTTGGTTTTGGTTTTGGATTTTTCATTCGTGAATTTTGTTGCAGATTTTATTGATGTAGTTTTCTAGAATGTAGGATCAGTTGCATTCATTTGACTTTTTTTTTTTTTTAATTATAAGTTAACAAGTAGGGCCCACAAGCTAAACTTATTGATGATAGAACTCCCACTCACAAAGGATCCAAGTTGGACTTGTCGATGTGCCAAAAAAGTCTAAGTTGACGATAACATGTGAATGTATGAGAGAGGCCAATGGTGCATGTGCTGCACATGATCCTTTGGCATTAAATATTGCCTCATTTCCTTAAACTTGAAAACTTAGAGGGTAAAAGCTCATATATTGTAAGATAACGGGTAAAATACCTCAAACTCGAAAAGTTAAAGGACAAATTGTGGGTTTTTGCCCAACCCAAACTTCTTGGAGTCAAATATTTAAAGAACAAGGCTATGTATATAGTTTAATTATAAAACCTAATCAACATAATATTTTTAATTTATAATTTTTTAAGTATATATTTTATGTTTTACTCGTATTAAGTAATTTGTAGATAGATGTCGTCTTTGTTTGACATTAGAAATATTATGAACATGGAGATACTTTATCTAGAATTAGAAATATTAAGACTATGAAGAATTAAAGAGCTTTTAATGGCTTGAGGACTGACTCATTTTATTTTTTAAAATTAAAGGTGTGAAAATTGAGTATTCTTTAAATATTAAGTGGTCTCAATTTTTAAAATATATGCATAAAGATATGGTTGTGTAATTGTAGCCAATCACTACTGCAAGAATCAGATATTCAGATCGAAATTTTGGTCCGAATATATTAAAAATCGGTCCGAATATATATCCGGACCGATATTGGTCCCTATAGTTGATCTAAAAAAACCTGGTACGGAAAAATATAATATACAGACCGACACAAAATCAGTTCGTATATATATAATAGACAGACCGAAATTAGTCTGGATATTTCAGTAAAAAATATAAATGGTTATTTAAAAATTGAAATAAGTGGACCAAAATTGGTCCGAAAAAAATAATATAACAAAATAATAAAATATGTACGGACTGAAAATGGTCTGAAAATGTGGCGGAAAGAGGCATACTAAATATATTCGGACCGGGATCGGTCTGAATATGGAGGACCCAGTAGCAACTTTTAAAACTTGCGGCCTTAATCTGTCTGCTTTGGAAACTATGTATAGACCATTTTCGATCGAAAATGTTTGGACTTATTTGTAACTTTCAAAAATTCTTCGCCTAATCGGTGACATTCTCAAACTATATTCAGACCGTTTTCGGTCCGAATATGTTGGACTTTCCTGTAACTTTTAAAAATTACTGTCCCAACCGGCTCCATTCTGAAAACATATCCACACCGGTTTCGGTCTGAATATATTGGACTTGGTTGTAACTTTTAAAAGTTCATTCCCCAACCGGCGCCATTCTCAAACGATATCCAGACCGTTTTCGGTCTGAATATGTTGGACTTGCTTGTAACTTTTAAAAGTTTCTCTCCCAACCAGTGTCATTCTCAAACTATATCCAGACTGTTTTCGGTCTGTAAATATCTTTAAAGAAAAAAGTAATAATAAAAAATAAAGAAAACAGATTTATTTTATTTAATAATTACACAATATTACCAAATAATACAAAAATAAATTTTAC